GAGGAGGAGGAGGAGGAAAAGGATGAGGAGGAGGAAGAGGAGGAAGAGGAGGGGGCAGCTGAAGCTGTGGAGGAGGAGGAAGAGGAAAAGGCAGAAGGAGTGGAAGCAGCTGCTGATGAAGAGGAGGATGAGGTGAAGGCAGAGGAAGAGGAGCAAGAGGAGGAACAGGAGGAAGAGGAGGGGGAGGTAGCTGCTGAGGTGGAGCAAGATGAGGATGAAGAAGAGGAAGATGACAAGGAACCTGAAGCAGCTGCAGCTGAGATTGATAAAGAGGACGATGAGGATGAAGATGAAGCGAAAGAGGAAACAGCAGAAGAAGAGGCTGACGAAGATGAGGATGAAGATGAGAAGGAACCTGAAGCAGCTGCAGCTCAGATTGATGAAGATGAAGATGAAGATGAAGAGGCTGACAAAGATGACAATGATGAGGAGGAAGAAGAGAAGGCAGATGCTGCTGATGAAGATGAAGATGATGAAGTTTCTCCTGAACCTATCTCCACTTCTGAGGATGAAGAGTCGGCCGTGTCTCCTGATTCTGACTCTGACGTACCTGTCGACGTCAAAGACAGTGACGAAGATGTGACTCTGCCCGATGAAGATGGCGACAAAGACGAAGAAGAACATGACGAAGACGATACCGGTGACGACGCATTCACTGACGCCTCGGACGTCAGTGAATCTGCACTTCTTTCCAGTGATGAAGAGGGAGTGGAGCTGGATGATGACGACGATGATGAAGATGACAGATTAGCTGAGGGCGTCACGACGTCGGATAGCGATGACGTCGTTGCAGAAGACACCGACGACGACCTGGAGCTTGATCTTCCTCCTATTCCTGCTGCTAGTGAGGATGATGAAGATGATGAAGTTGATGATCTTAAACTCCCTGAAGATGAAGATCTTCCTCCTTTGCCTGCTGTTAAAGATGATGAGGATGATGATGATGATGAACACGTAGAAGACGACGCCAAAGTTGCTGAAGACGCTGATGAAGATGATGATGATGATTTGGACCAATCAGACGAGGACGTCTCCGTTGCCTCCTCTGAGCACTTTGCAGACGATGAAGACGACGATGACGAGGAAGACAGTGATCTTAATGACCTTGACTTTGACCTTGACAAAAACATTCTTGTTGACCTCGATGATGATGAAGACGAGGATGACCATGACAAACCTGATGATGTCATTGAAGAGGACATCCATGATGATGATGATGATGACAAAGAGGAGGAAGAGGAGAAGGAGGAAGAGGGGGAAGATGAAGTCTCTCCCTTTGAGAGTACAGACAGTGGGGTCTTAGGGGATGAAGATGATGATGACGAGGTCACTCTTAAAACAGACGAAGAATCTGTTGGAGAGACTGTGTTCAGTGATGACATCTCCTATGACACGACCGATGATGACGATAAAGATGATGACGATAAGGATGATGAAGACAAGGATGATGAAGATAAGGATGATGAAGATATCGACGCCAGCTCGCTTGAGTTCACTTTCGATCAAGAAGACGAAACAGAGATCGCAGAAACTTTTGTCGCCACTGAAAAAGACGACGAAGAGCTCACATCCGAGTCCGTAGCCAGCGAGGATGAGGAAGAGGACGACGATGAGGATGATGATGAAGATGATGATGATGTTGATGAAGTCTTGCTAGCAGGTAAAGTCCAGAAGTATTGATTACCTTCATTTTTAGTTGTCTTACAGTATTCCATAGACAGAGAAAATGCTTGTTTCTGATTGGCTGTCAGGTGTCCATTCAATTATTTTTATGAACGAACACACATCTAAATTATCTAAGTCAATGTTTATAATAAATAAAAGTAATAATATACAATATACATTTTTCATGTTGTGTATATTTATATATGAATATACATTTTATAAGATACACATTTTTATTCTATTTTTAGGGTTTATTTTTAACATCATAAAAAATGGGTTCTAAAAATGAAATCGCAACAACAACAACAACAACAACAACAACAACCAGCTGTAATAACACTTCAAACAGTGTATCTGGCTCTGTAGTTGTATGTGCAGAGGTGCAATTTAACTAACTACTGTACTTGAAGTACTTCAACTTTACTTGATTATTTTGCCTCTTTTTACTCCGCTTCATTTCACTTCACACACAATTTTTGCACATCATTTGGACTCTTTGGTTGGTCAAAGCAAACATTGTGAAGGTCTCACTTTGGATTTTATTTCTCATTAAATCAGTGAAAATAATCAATAGTTGCAGTCATATTCAAAATTGCTCAAAATTAGTTCCACCTCATCTACAACAGTAAAATCATTAATTCATGAGTAATAATAATCTAATTATATCATAAAGTAGTCACAGAGGACATTTTCCTGGACTGAGTACTTTGACCTTTATATACTTATATACTGAGTACATTTCCCTTTTAATACTTTTAAATAAGTAACATTTGCAGGACTTTCACAGTGTGGTATTAGTAGTATAATTTTAAGTAAAGGATGTGAATTCTTTCTCCACCACTGTCTGTTTCTAGCTACCACTGCAGCAGCGTTTGCTGTCCAGGAGGAGGCAGTAAAGACTGAGGAAGACATCGATGAGGACGAGGATGAGGGCGACATCAAACAGGCTGCTGATGAAGACGAATCTGAGGAGGCTGAAGCTGGTGAGTGTCACACATCCATTACAGTATTCCTCCTTTAACATATACAATATGAGCTTATCAGAGCTGTTTCCTTTTTTCTAAAAAGATTCTTAGATTATAGCTGAAGTACATTTGATATTTAGTGTTTTTAATGAAATAAGATAAATAATAACCAATAATAATAATAATGATAATAAAATTCGAACCATTTTTATGTAAAAGCTGAAAAAGAGTTGTGACAAAGCTGAACTCTGGAGCTGGAAACTCACATATGAATCAAATACAATTCACTTTCAGTTGCATGCTTGTTCTCTACTAACTCTATTATATTATTACAGTAATTTAGATCTAATGTTTCTTTCCTTACCACAGTTATACTGCATCATTTACATATTTTCTTTATATTAATGTTAAATAAGGTGCTTTTTCACCATACTGCTCTTATTTCTCCCCCATATGTATATTTCATTCATGTAAATTTATGGAGAAAAAAGACATGAAAAAGATCAAAACATCTGCAGACTTTATTTTATTATATGGGCGTGGGGACGTAGGGGTGTGCTGCCCTGGATACATGTATTAATGTTTAGAATAAACAACCAATAGATGTAGTCTTTGTTCTAAAATTAAATCTGAACCCTGCATGGAAATAATCTGACAGCAGAATGATCAGGAGGATCTGCAACAGGCTCAGATGTCGACTCTGTGGGAAACAGCGAAAACTGAAAAACAAAAAAACTTTGTTTTAAACAATAAAAGAAAGAACTGGATTCACAGGATGAAAGCCGCCAGGCAGTGCAAAACCCTGTGAAAATTCTGCACAAATGTGGAGGGTTAAGATAAAATGCAGTGTTGTTTTAGTTGGTTTTGTTCTATTCAGAGACAATATACTACTCTGTGTTTGTTTCTGGGCCATTCAATAGCTTGTTGAACAAAACAATGTACATATATTAATTGTTACATAACTTGCTTTCGCACAATATATGTACAGTAGCTTGTGTTTAGAGTGCGTGGAGAAATTAAAACTCCCCTGGAAGAAAACATGAATTCTTTTAATCCTGTTTAGTATCGAGGGTAGTCTTGCACTTAAATGAGTATTACGACAAAAATGATCCAAAACTTGTTTCACTTGTTCTTACATCATAAAAACAGGAGAGCAAACTTAGAAAATGGATCAATGGTTTTATTTTTCTCACTGGCCACTCAGGGCTTCTGTAGAATACTGAGGTAAAAAAAAAAGATAAATGTTTGTCCTTGAGATTCACCATAGTTTTCATTCTGGAGTCACAACAGAAATGTATCCACAAGCACTTCAGCAGAAACAGTTAAAATCTCTTTTATCAGAGATTTTAAGGTTCAGTGTATTTATTGGCATCTAGTGGTGTAGCTGCAGATTAGTTGCACTCCCACGCTTAACCCTCCTCTTCCAAGTGCAAATGAGAAACTATCCCCTAGTTAAAGCCAGTGTTTATTTCGTCTGTTCTGGGCTACTGTAGAAACATGGCGGTTTAATGTGGCGGCCTCCATGAAAGGTGACGTGCAGCGTCTGTAGCTAAAAACGGCTCATTGTAAGAAAACAAAAACACAATGATTCTTATTTTCAGGTTATATACACTAATGAAAACATACCTGTGGATATCATATTCCATATCTGCCAATAGATCCTCCTAAATGTTACACACTGGACCCTTAATGGTAAAATGATATTACCACTATATTTCACTCTACAGCGGGGGGCTGCAGCCCTCACTGTGCCCTCTATTCCTGCACATAATGTTTTTTATTGCTGTTTTTTCATCTGACACCTTCTTGTTTTGTGATAGTGTGCTGCAGTTATTGAAAGTCTTTTGTTTGAAGATTATTGTGGAATATTTTGGTTTGAATTCTACTATAGTGGAGTTTTCTTAGCACAGATTTTGGATTTATCTTCTATTAAATGAGCCTGAAGCTGCCTGTCCAGAAAGAAGAGAAGGATGAATGATTGTGAACGTGAAACTCAAATTTGTGTCATATGAGCAAAATATACAAAACAGTACAAAATGAAGATGTAAAATTTCAAACTACTCCTTTAAATTCTTTCTCAGTAAAGTTAAAGCAGAAAGAACTTGACTGCGGTCCGTTCATAGCTCTATAAAAATGATGCATGAGTGTAATCAGCCACCTTACAAATGAATACAAATTGATTAGCTTCCGCTTCCTGCTTTCACCCTCAGTTACGAGTCAGCCTGCTGCCCTCGAGGAGGAGGATGAGGGAGAAGATGAAGAGCCGGCAGCTGAACTGAAGAAAACTGTGGACGAACCTGAAGACAAAAAAGAGGAGGAGTATGACGAAGACGACAATGAGGAGAAGGCGACGGTGATCGTGATCAAACCTGTGCCTCAACCCGAGGAAGAAGCCCCACCGACTGAACCCGCAGGTCAGAGATCGAAGATATTTACAGCTGTTGTGTCACATTTAGCTCCTCTGTAACTTCCCCTTTATGCTCTGTGATTTCAGCATGTCCCTGCATGCACTCCACAAAGGCCAAAGAGGCTGCAGCAAAGACTGTAGACAAAAAAGGTTTGTGATATTCCATGAGATATCTTTATCTGAACACACAGTGGAAGGACTTATTTAGTAAGTATTGTTTAATATCTAGTTACCTCTTGTGGAGAGAGTCAAAAGAAGAATCTTGTCAAAATAATGCAGCTCTATGATTATTACCAGTGGTGGAAGACACACTCAGATCAATTACTTGGTACTGCATTACGAGTAAAAATAGTATCATCACAAACAACTTTGAAGCTGGGTTAAGAAAGGCAATTAAAATCACATTTCAGTCAATTATTGATTCTGTCATTTTCATTACCTTCTCTTTTATTTAGTTAAATCATGTTCAATTAGTCTCCAGCCATTTCTGTTGATATGAGACTAATAGGACATATGAGATATTAGTGTCAAGATGAGAAGGGAGTTTTAACTTAATTAATACAATTAAACAAACCTAACAATAAATGCAATTGTAAATACAATATATCTGAAGTTGTGTTAGTTTTACATCTGTTACTTTTAGATTACATGTCTGTTTTTTGTTTAAGTTATAACCCTAAAATTATGTTTAGATTCTATTTCCTGTCTGCTAGAAAAGCTTGAACACAAACTCGATGATAAATGCAGATTTCTGGAGCATACGGCAGAAGTACATAGCTTTACTCAGCTCAGTGTTTAAGTCCTTCAGCTTGTAGCTTTAAGTCTGATCTCATGTTTGTGTTTACAGATGCTCCGAGAAGGGTTTCAGCTATTAGAAGAAAAAAAGGTAAAAGATAACAATTTGTTTTCAATTAAGGGGATTTCCATCAAAGCTGCCACACGTAACACCTCATTGAAAAGATAATAAAAATACAAAAATACAAACAACTCTAAACTATGATAATGATTTGGGTGGCAGTTGATGCTACTTTAGAGGCAATGGAGCATTGTGAAACATAGTTCCTTTAATTTTACCCTTTTCTAATTGTTTGATTCTTCCTTTAAGACATTGAAGCTGTGAAAACCGATGAAAAGCCAAAAAGGACAGGTAACATTAAGCACTATAACATACCATCTTTATACCACCTAAATGTGATGATGAATCATTGCTCTTATTGTGGTGTGATACATTGAATTATGTGCTGTGTCCAGCTCTACCCAGAATTGCAGGTCTGCCACCAACACTCAGGAGGATCAGGAAAATTCCTACTATTCTCAGAGGTACTCAGACTTAATATGGTATTATGTTTTTGTTCTTACTATGAACATAAAATATCTGTCTTTAGCCATAAACAGGGGGGAAAAGCTAGCTCTTTTGCACAGAGCTAACAAAGGTAGTAATGTGTGAAATGTAGAGCTAGGTGGATTTTTTGGATTTTAAATGAAGCTTAAACTGTAAAATAAGTACAACGAGAGTTTTTAACTGTTCATATGAATAATTACAACAAGCTGAGTATAAAATAAATAACTGGATCAGTTGTTTGATTTGACACATCAGTGCTCTTTCACAATTTCTGTCACCACTTTAATTAACGGAGTGTTTTCACCTTTAAATTCCAATAAAAAGCCAAGAAAGTGGAAAAGACCAAGACTCCCAAAGCAGGTAAGTGAATGAATCGGCCACTAATAAATCACATTCACAGTCACTCTGTAGCAAGAGTCAGCAAACGTATTGTACTGTAGATATAGACCATGTGAAGACTACTGTTTTCAGTTTTATTTATACAGCTCAATATCAAAGGGGCTTCACAATCTCTACATCGTAGGACACTATCTTTAGCCCCTTGATTCAGATAAAGAAATAATCCCCACCAAAAACCTTTAATGGGGAAAAACTGGAAGAAACTTCACAATGAGCAATAGAGGGCAGACAGATGCTGTGTGTACAGAATAGATCAACATGGTAAAATTACAGTATGGACAATCAGGATGACAAAATTATAGTTAAATTGTAAACATATATGAAAAATATGGATCTGGGAGGACGTTCACCAAACAGACCGGAGCCACGTGACCTCCTCTCCACCACGGAGACCTGAAGAAGCAAGGCTCAAGTACACCATTCACACAGAGATATACACAGAGAGAGAGAGAGAGAGAAGGAGAGAGGCTGAATCTCCTGTAGGATAAAAACATCTGGAATGAGGATGAGGAGAGAGGTTGGCCGGTGGTCCAGAGAGAAAAAGGAGGAGAAATAGGGAGAGAGAGAGAGAGAGAGAGAGAAAGATAGGAACACAACTTGTGGCTGTGGGACAAAAACACATAGAAATGTCTATTTTTCATCTGGTCATTTTTCTTTGACAGAGACAGAGACCAAAAAAAAAGAAGAGGTCACAGAATCTGCACAAGACGGTATAAAACCTCTGATTTCCATTATGATTTTATAGGTTTTGTAAAGTACCTGAGCAAATGTAAGTGGTGCATCTTTTTCCTAAGTAAAAATAGCAGTAGTACGGTATAAAATTACTCTGTTACAAGTAAAAATTCTACATTGTAACTCTTACTTAAGTAAAAGTAACACTGAGCTTTCTGTATTATTCTGTATTTATCGTTGCAACTGGTAAAGCCTGGGTTCATTTAAATTGCTTGTATTAATTGATTTAAATTTTGCATTCATAATCTAAATCCCATAGATTCTGAAAAGCAAAAAGTGCTATATTTCCTGGAACCTGGAGGAGTGCCTGTATATTGTATACATCTGTAAATATATATAGTGCATATACAGTACATGCATATGTCTGTTTCAGTTGGCCCTTGCAGACCTGCACCCGTCTACTGCCCGTCTCCACCTGGCTGGTACGGTAAGTAACAAATAAAACAGCTTGAAAGGTTATTGGGAAATAAATATCCAATTTTATAACTCTGGAGATGACAGCCTGCTTCATATCTGCTGATCTCTTCTCTCTTCTTTACCTCCAAATGTCAAATAAACTCTTTATCTTCCAGTTCATCACGTTGTCACAGACAACCCGTATCCTCCACCAACCATGCCAGGTATTTACACTGCTGTCATATCAACTAAAAGTGAAAGAATATCAGTAAAAGACTATTCCTTTGACATGTTCTGATCAGTGTGATCAATTTTTTTCTCTTCTGCTGGAAAATAAAAACATGTTTTTATGATTTCAGCTCCCTCTGCTCCTGTTCTGACCGCCCACCCCGTCCATCCTGGAGCTCCGCCGCTGCAGCCTCTTTATCAGCAGCAACCACCTCCCTTGATGCAGCCGCTCTATGCACAATATCAACCATACCCACCGCCAGTGCAGCCAGCGGTGCAGCCTCAACCAGAACCAGTGCAGCCAGTCCCACCAGTTGAACCAGTCCAGCCAGAAGCTACAGAACAAGAGGCTCCTGTTCAGCCTGAGATCCAGACTCCAGCTGATGAAGCTCAGCCCACTGTGGCTCCAGTCCAGGGTGAGGAGAGTTAGTACAACACTAAGTGATGGTTATCCTGAACTCTTTTATAACATGAAAGTAAACCTTTCAGTCAGTATGACAGAAATTCAATTTCATGACTTACCTCAACTCTTCTCTCTTAAAGAATCAGAAACTGTTGAGGAAGAAGTGAAGGCTGCACCCACCAAGAAAGGTACAAACTATTAGCCAAACTCACATACATCATACATTATTTTTCTCTTAATTACTGCAGTGAACAATAATTAATGTTGGCTATTTTCCAGCTGCAAAGAAGAAAACTGAGGCTGCTGATTTAACAAAAGGTATTGTATGATTCTCCAATCCAATGAATCCTTAATTTGTCAATAAACTGGCGTATTCCCCTGTAACAAACCACAGCTGCAGCATTTAACAGTGATGTACAATGACACGATGTGCTGTATGAATGCATTCATTATGGAAAATTAACTCTACACGGCCATTTCACTCCAATTATCCCCTCAGAGCCAGCAGCGGGCAAAGAGAAAACAAAGAAAGGTAATTTATGTTTACAGCTCAGTAATTTTCTGTTTTCTACAGCGTACACTTGAGTGGTATTACAAATGATACAGACAGCAATTTGACCTGCGTTTTGCTGTAAATATACAGACAGAATTACACACTTCAGTAAGATATGAATAACACAATTTAGCACATTTTGCCAATTCTAGATGCTGCTGTTCCCAAAGACACCAAAGCAAAGAAAGGTGAATAAACACTGTCACTATATCTTAAGGAACATTCATTTTAGTTTAACATTATATTGTACTTATTGAGTGTTTTTCTCACAGAACCAACTGCAAAAAAAGAGAAAACCAAAAGTCCAGCAGTGGCTAAGAAAGGTAATGAACATTTTGGTAGAGTACTTCACATGAAACAAGAAAAAATGAGCCCCTTATAAATATATCATACTGGGGTATGAGTAAGACTGAGAAGCAATCACCATAACTTAAAAATGGCTTTAATATTGTATTCATTATTATTTTATATCTTTGAGTCAGTCGCATTTGTTTTCACAGAGCCAGCTGTAAAAGAGAAAAACAAAACTGCTGCAGCTGCTAAGAAAGGTAAAACGTTCTTAGGCCAGTGTAAAAATTCAAAAATTATATGAAAACTAACACAAAGAACGTCCTGCCTTCCGGTGAAAGAGCTGCTTATATTTCACTGAGAAAACAAATCATTCAGGCCACTAATCATTATTGTTTCCTCATTATGTTAGAGCCTGCAGCTGCCAGACAGAAGAGAAAATTAGGCTCTGAAAAGACAGGTAACTACACACACTGACGTTCATTCATTCGCATAAAGTCAATCGTCATTCATGTCAGTGTCATGAAAAATGATTGGAAGCTAATTGTTTTTGCTCCTCTCAGAAGCGTCACCTGTCAAGAGCAAAGAGAAGGCGTCTGCAGCCAAGAAGGGTAAAACTGACATTTTATACTCCACCAGGTTTTTAACACCAGTTTAGATGCTAAACCAGGATTTGGTTCAAGTGATATAAATTTGGATCTAATTTGTCTTAAATAGATGCAGATCCAGAACCACGTCCGCAGCCGATCAGACTGAGAACGAGACTAGACGCTGCTAGGAGGGCGAATGTAACCTCTCAGGCAAAGGAGGAGAAAGAACCAGGTAACACGTCAGAGTGTTGCTTTTGAGCAGGACTCTTGCACTAAAATCTGCAGTTTTTAATTTTATGTCCTTTCATTTTCAGCCAAGACAAGATCAAAATTATTGGCGGACAAAAAAAGTAAGAGAACACTTTAGTTTATTACGTACGCTTGTATTTGTTGGTTTCAAAATTAATTCTCTGCAGAGAAATCAGTGCTTCTTTAAAGGACCAGTCTGTAGGATTTAGTGGCAGATAGTGGTGAGGTTGCAGATTACAACCCTATCGCCTCATCCTCTCGTTCCAAGCATGTAGAAGGAAATTCAGTGGCCTCTAAATGCGTGAAAAGCATGAAAGGCCCTGTCTAGAGCCAGTGCAACATGGCAGCCTCTGTAGAAGAGGACCCGCCCCCTCTGTAGATATAAACAGCTCATTCTAAGGTAATGAAAACACAACAATTCTTATATTCAGTTGATTATACACTAATGGAAACATACCTATGAATACTATATCCCATTTCTGCCAGTAAATGTTACACACTGGACCTTTAAGAAGACTGCCTCTCCTATCTTTTTTATTGTCAGCCACGTTTCAATAATGCTCTCAAACAACAAAGTTTCCTATTCAACTTTCTGCATTGCAAATAAAACCTAATGGCTCCCAGACATTTATTTGATTATTGGATGCACATGAACAACCTTTTGATTTCATTGATATTCACAAGGGTTGTGGGGCGCTCCACAAACTCCAGACATTAGAATACATTTTCTGGTTATATTGACTGCTTGACAACAGTTTGTATAAAGTGCTCTTTGGCTCTGGAAGAAATTGAACAGAGAAATGAATGTCTTATAAACATAAGTCGAACAGTGAAAGAGTATTTTTCTCTAAACAAAAGTTTTATATTTATGGTAATGTTAAGTCTTTACAGACATTTTTCAGGACAAATCACACTTGTTGGAAACATAGTCACAGATTATGAGATTAAATGGGCAGTTTTATGCATGATAAAGTTTTAATTAGGGACATGTCAAGCTGTATTACACAGAGGGGAATAATAACGGAAGAATATTAAATGCACACCACAATTACAGAGAGTTATTTGGCAGGCTGTAATAGGGCTGTCTCTACTTTCGCAGGCAAAGCTGACAAGGCTGAAAAGAAATCTGTCAAAGTGGCTCAAGGTACGGATTCAGAATTGGAAAGTGAATCAAATGTGTGCTGAGTAAATTTGACATTAACCAGCTTCTCTTTTTCCCCTCTTTCACATTTTAGATAAAGAGAAACAACCAACACAAACTAGTGAGTATGAGAGCATCAAAGTTATTAATCACCAGTGCGAATAATATCCATAATGGCTATTAACACTTCTGTAAACTCTAATGTGAATTTATCCAAAGTACAAAGATGGTGGATTTTTTTGTTTTCATTAAATGCAACTACATCTACGGTGGTCCTGAGACCTAAAGGCTCTGTAAATAGACAAAAACACAAGAAATTAAGGAAACAATTAAATTTGCCACTCTCAGCATTAAGAAAAAATGCTGCAAAGGGAGAAAACACAACCAAATACACCAAGAACAACCAAATTCATAAACACGCTTCATTTACAGAAAACACAACCTAAAACAGAAATGCTACAAATAGTACAGACAACAGAAAATGTCAAGGGGACACTAAAAAGTAAATGAACATGCCTAAACACAGCTGGAAACACAGACTGTTGTCCTATACAAAACATTTTAGCTCATTTGGGTGGATTTAGGTGCAAAAAAACACTTGGTTAGGTTTAGGGAAAGATCATGATTTGGGTAAAATGACTTGTTAAGGTTAGTGGAGCAATGAACAAGCAATGAAGGCACAAGCACCACAGACAATCTGGCAAGGAACTGAGTGAAAATTGCCAGTACTGGGGAGCTGATCAGGGGAATGATTGGCAGGTGTGTAACCACTGTTAAGGTGTATAACAACCGAGGGGGGTGGGAGAGAATTACAGGAAAGGTTAGTGGTTGGCAAACAGGCAGCAGGTAATGAGTAATGAAACTGATGTTCCATTAGTGTTTTAGATGCCTAAGTAAATTCCATAAGTCATGCTTTAGCTGGCACAACAAATATTGTTGCAAAAAATTAAAACTAATTGTTCTCAATTAAAAATAAATCAGTATTTGTCAAAAAAATGCCTTAAAAAACGTTAAAGGCCCTGCACACTTACACAGGCATTTAGGCATGCTGGGAATTATGTGATGCCACAAAACTCAGTGTACAAATAATAGGAATGATAACAGGGTAAATTGTCCCCATCCTAACATGTGCAACAGTACTAATAGGACAGTTTAGGAGATGTCAGTCATGTATGATTTGTACACAGCCACACAGTCTGTAACCTAAGTGAAAACACTTGTGTGGGTGGACTTTGATGAATAGACAAACATATTAAAACTAAAACAATAAATCCGACTAGCTTTTGTCACCTGGATGACAGAGAATCAGCCCGTTGTACATTAACAGTAATGTTTTTAAACCGTTTGCTTGTTGTTCATAGAGAATGGAAAAAGAGCTTCCCGTAAAGCCTAAGGTATTCAGTTAATTCCCACCATCTTTCCACTGGTTGACTCAATACGAATAGACGTTCACTTTTAATGACATTATGAATGTAAGCGATTAGAATTTAATGAGATGAACTGATTGAGACAAGATTACTGGACTTTTGAGCCGCCTTGAGTCGTTGGAAGAGATTATGGCGTATGATGAATACAGCAAGAATAATACTTAGCTGGATTGATTTAATCCACCAACCATTAAATTGGGGTATTAGTGTTCTATTCTTATTGAGTCATCCAATGGAGCATTAACACTCCCCCACTGCCCCGAGTGACTCTACACTGTCTGACACAGTAGCTCCTGTTTCTTAGGGTGTGATCAAAACTTGTTTGATTTCTCTGACCTCTTTCTGCAGGCAAGACAAACATCCACTTATCTGTAAATATGTTTTTTTTTTTTGAGATATCACTACTTTATGGACACTACCAACCAATATTGATTTTATGCATGATAAAATGAAACCAGCCACAGTTCTCCTGAGGGACGAAGTCTACATTTTTGAGATAAATGACCTTGTTTAGTTTAGAGAAAAGGTCTGAAAAAGGTTTGAAAGATTTCTTTCATATATCATTATATATACAAACTGAATTTGTAATTCTCTTCACTGTTTGTGTAAGGAACTATAAATCAATAAGTGTATAGCTCAGGGTTCAGCAACTTTTACTATCAAAAAAGTAATTTTAATCTGCAGCACCAACACATATTTAAAGCCTATAATGCTAATTTCTTGCTAAAGATTAAGCATAGTGGTAAACCAGCAGCGTTGATGATGAAATAAAACAAATCTGTCCACACGCTAAACATTAAATTCTTTGTTTTTCCTCATTCCATAGCTAGTCTAGCTAAGGAGAGTCAAAACTAGTAGCCACAGCTATTGAGGTTTGGCAAAACCAGATCAGGATATAACGTATGACGCACATTTTAAAACAATGTTTTATTCAATGTGTAATGGATACACATTTTTACAGCTGGAGAATGTAAGAGTCACTTTAGGACTACAACAATGATAAATGAAAATTTCCACAGGGAGACACTGGAGAGGGCAAAAAAGCTGCAGGTTGCCTGTCCCTGGTGTCGCTAATAAAATTGTGTGTAAGCCTCAATGCCTCTAAGTGGCTGTTTCCCACTGCATTGATTGATGGAAAACTGTGAGCTGGCGTTGCTAAGAGTTTGCTGTCAAGGTCTGTGGTGCCCTCCTGACTGGAGAACATCACAGAGCCAATAAATCATGATATGAGGCATTTATCTACCATTAGCAATTAAGTCTGTGCCTTTACAACTTTCTTTCTTTCTTTATTTGTGAAAAGTGGAGTCTAGTCTTCATGCATGTTATTTCTACATCTGCTGAGCACCATTGGTACAAACATTTATGTCCCTATGGTAGAACATCAAAACAAGGAAGAAAAATAATAATTTAAATGTTATGTTTGAATGACGACTGCACAAAATATATATAAATTTCAGCTGGACTGAACATCACATCACATTGTTTAAATGTTTTAGTTCTCTTTCCCGGCTCTTTCCTTTTTTACCCACTTACGTGCATGCAGACACTCATCATCCTTTGCTTTCTTTCTCTCTCACACGGACACACACTCACACACCAGCAATTTAACAATGTCTTTTATCCTGTTTCTTGCAGAAGAGCCCGAGACCGAAGACAATACTACAGAAAAGAAGAAACCAGGTAAGAGTTGCAGAAATTTCATCAGATGTTTTTTTTTTGTTATTGTAAGTGAGAGGAAGCAGCAGCTGAATATGCCCTCATGACTGTCAGGTGAAAGTTTCATAAATAAATATTGGTTTCCTCTTAAAACTGTTTATTTATTAAAATGTAAAGTACTTAGATGCATATGTTTTTTTTTTTTTTAAAGATTATTATTATGTTTTGGCTCTTTTGGCTTTATTGGGTAGCTGAATAGAGACAGATAGGAAATAAGGGATTAGAGATAGAGGTATATAACACATAAAACATTTTATTTGTCATTGTAGACATACAATGAAATTTTGTTTGGTAACTCTCAGTGATTTGAGTTCAAAATTGACCCATTTAGAACTCCATATTAAGAAGTTTAAGCTCAGTTTAGACTAAATTCTCCTCTTTACCACCAGTGTAATCCACCGTCGTCCACTGCCTATGTTCAATTAATTTGAAAGCATCACATTATCAATCATCTATCCATCTCATCTTGCTGTCTTCACAGGCCAGAGATACTTCCAGTGCATTTACGTCCCTGGTAAAAATGCACAGTACCCTTTGCGACCTTTCACCCCAGCCATGTCCCCCACCATGATGTCCCCTGCACTCAGGTCCATGTTGGAGCAGCAGAGAGCAGTGAGGGCGTCGGGGCAATAGGTCAACCTGAACTCTCACCTCATTTCTGATAGCACTGCATCTCCCAGTCCAGCAGGGGAAGATGTTTTAAATCTGTGAAATCCTTACATTTTGAGGAAAAACAACAGACACACAGATAAAAATGGACAGAACTATTTTGTTTTTAATTTATTTATGTATTTTTTTTCTTTCTATGTGGTTGAGCTCCTGGGGTTTCTGTTGATATTTCCCATTTTCCTCTCAGCTGATGCTTTGCTGCTTCATTAGTCATCACTGCTATGCCCTGCTTGTGTCTGAGATGTAATATAAAATCACCAACATCCAAACAAGGAAGCATTCATGTAAATATTCTTAACTCAGTATAGTGTACATAATGCTTGTATTTGTAATTTAGGCTGAAATAAATGTACACACCTTTGGCATGTTGTTTTTCAGTTGCAGCCCAGTTTAATATGAGATTTTTATGAAACCCTATTTTGTTTAAGGCACTTGCACTGACAAAACAGTTATGCACAATAAGAAACAATCGTTTTTTAGTCTCAAAGGATACTTTTTTAAAGCTGCACATCATATATTTCGAAGGGATAATAGTGTAACAAATGCAGCTCATGAACTCATTAGGGACAGCATTTTGCATCAAATGTTAATGGAAAAGAAATTAGGAAATAAAGAACTTGTATTGGATTTGAATGTGATTATACTTGAATGGCCATGTTGCATATTTCAGCTTTTGTTTTGTAATATAACAGCTAATGTAGCAATGCATGCATTCACACTCTGAGTTGTGACTTGAGAATGTAAAAGATGAATAAGTTGACAACTTGGATCCTCTTTCATTTTTAATCATTGATGTAAATCACCCTCATCCTGTGTCCCATAACAAGACCGGTTTTTGTTTTGCTGCTTCGCTGCATCCGCCACAGATTATCATGCAAATGTTGGGGTTTCAAATCCCAGGAGCTCCCACAGTTGATCCAAGCAGCCTCCCTGTCTCTGATCCTGAGTGTGTGAACATCCATCAGTCTCATAAAAATGTTGCTGAGTGATGAATAATGAGGCTTTTTCTGCTTAGATGACCTAATATCAGGCAGGAGTAAAGAGGAAGGCGAGCTCATCTCAGCCTTGTCAGCATGAAACTGCAGCACATGGAACAGTATGAGTCTCACCTTAACATGCTTCATTTAAATTAAAGGCACTGCTGCTTTTCTTAGTTTAAAGACATACTTTGACATGTTTAATGTAATGGTTGGATGTTTTTTCATTCCCAGACACTGGCACATTTTGTTTTATTGTCGGTCTTTAGAAGAAGTTGCTTTTTAAAAGTGTCCTCAGCTTCAAATAGGAACATAAGGGCATGAAGTTAAAGTTTACAGTATATAATCCCTCATTTAATCATTTAATACTTGAACGCTGTAATTTTTTAATAATTGGCCCTTTGCTTCTATGTCCCATAATTTTAACACCTTAAAGTCCTTAAAAAAGTCAAAGTCAGCTTTGTTCTTACGAATGAAGTGCACTTTATAGAATCAGTGGATTAAATGTCGTATTGTATCAAGTAGAATCTCAAACTGTTGAGCTATCTTAGTTAACTTATTTTAACTTGCATGTTCAGAGACAGGGAGTCTGTGCACGGACAACTTTGACGTGACCAACTAATGAGACGCTGTGATGTCTGCTACAGTGGTTAAATGTCATTTTTATCATGTTGATCATCAGCCTGTTTCTTAAGGCTGATACGTTGTCATATTTTCAGTTACCTCACTCGCTCTGGTTTTGTATCTGACCAACAAGGCCTGATGTCTTGTTGTTGCTGCGAAACTGTTGCTGAGCATTATCGGAGATTTGCTGTTGTCTTACAGAATGAAAACCTCAACTGAAAAGAACCAAAAGGGGTTTTCACACTAGGATTAAAGCGGGGATAACACCCACATTAGTCCAGGGCCTGCTGTAGTGTTCGCCCAAGGCATATTCACACTTACAGTTCCTATAATCCACGACGCATTCTGATGTTAATTCCTCCATATTTTTAAAGTTCAGTTTCACTTGTGAGTTACATGGTAACGCAACGTAAGGCACTTGTACTGTTGCAATGGTTACCTACAGTTTAATACCTTGTGGACTGACTTTGAGCAGTTATTTAACTGTAGACTGACGTTCGAGGTGTGGCAATTTATTCATTTTCATTGTATTGCAGGTCTATCCACGTCTGTTCAGGGTTATCCCCAAAAAGTCTTAAGGTGTGTTCAGACTGAACCCAAAGCTAAGTTCAGAGGCGATGCAAATGCATACAAATCAATGGAAAAATGTGAGTGGAAGCAAACAGCTGCAGATTCAGTCCAGGTAGTGCAAACTAAGGTGAAGACGCATCTTAAAATGCTTCCACAAAACACCAGAAATTTGCATATATCCTGCAGCTGTATGACTCTGCTGCAGAAACAAGAGTAACATAGGACAAACTGAGGACAAAATAACAGAGAACTGGAGTTCCTGTTGAGTTTTGTAATGAGTCCGACCTACCAAGCTAACAGCAACAGCTAGCCCCTTTAGAGTTTATCATTAGCTGTTTGTGGCCACTAATGGAACAATAAAGCGAGGGAAAATTGCTTCATGTTCACTCTGAATGCACCTTTGAAATCACTGGTGTTAATCTGGGTTAGAACCAAAGCAACGGGATGTCCAATCAAATCTCCGCTTATTGTTTGCTGTTAGCATACTGAGCACATTAACTCTGATTTTTGAGTGTGAATATTTAACCTGAGGCTTGATGCAAACTCCAGGTTGACAAGTCCAAGTGTGCCTGCAGGGTTTAGGTCAACTGGCTAGAGAAATGTAAGTGTGAAGAGCCCTTATGTTTCATGAGAGCAAATGAGATCTGACAAGCATTTACAGTAGCAATCTACTGAGTGTTGTTAGAGTGGCATTTAAAGGCACCTGGCATTGGTGTTTACTTCAGGTGTTTTGCTCATAGATGAATCATTTTTAAAATGATTCTTATTCCAGTGGGGAGATGCCGTTGTAGGTTGCTGCTCTGTGCTGTCTAGAGGCCCTGAATGAATGATATTAACAGACAGTAATTACACCATACAGCTGGAGCTGTGTGCTCTAATTATGCTTTCAAATCTTACCTAATCCAATCTCACTTGACTATATACAAGACTTTTCATAACCTGCACAAATGTTCATGTGATCCTAAAAAGTGGAATGGGTCTCGGCTACATCCCTTATTACATGTTCTAAATATTGTTGCGTAAGATCACAAGTACATAAGTGTAATGCTGTTTTTTCCCCTGCATGTTGTCACCATAGTGCAGCAGTACAGTAAGGGTACCGTGTGTGCACTTGAAGCAAAAAAAAAAAAAAATTTACTCATCAGTATGTTTCACTTCAGTTTTCCAGTTTATATAGTTTATATATTTGATGATCTGTACCTTCTACATTTTGGACTAGGTTTCCCACATTTGTTGGTCAGTAGTATATTGTTGATAATTTTATGTAGTTTTTGCTCCAAAAGTCAATACTTTTGACAACTCTCCACTAAACAAACCTGACCACTTGCCATTTGAAGTTACCTTTGGAGTTTTTGTCCACTAGTGGGCATGTGAACCACTGTTTTGAGGAGCAGGTCCCTGAGGAGGACAGACAACACAAATAAACTTTAGCTTCAAGCTATTAAGTTGATGTATGTATAAGCAAACATCTTTGGACAAGCTTACCTAGGAAACTTTGGTTACTAGGGTTCTCTGTGAACAGCTTGCCTGTCACGTCACCTGATGTTTTGGTTAAAAATAAAGGTATTTATTTCAAAGACAGGCAATGCGTTCAAATGGCAGGGGCGAGAAATGTTCTTTACTATCCCTTAATTTTACATAATTCCTATTATCAATGGTTGCGTTAAAGTGCGTCAAAATGTAGAAATGAGTACAGCAAGCTGATGTAAACAATGCAGTTTTTAAAACATTCAAACATTCATATTATGGGCCTACATTAAAAAATGTACAAAGTGCCATAAACTCCATGTTTGTTTTACTTGAACATTAGCATACACAGTATCAGATGTGCTAATTTTGTTACCGTTCTTTTGACCATGAGGTTTAGAAACGTGTAACAATTGAATATGAGCCAATAAATGAATTGGATTTGAGCATTTAGGTCCGGTTAAGTTAATTTGAGACCAACGGGCTTATTGCTTTATAGAAAGCAGTGAAAAAAGAGGGAAACCAGCAGTAAATACTGGTTGGTATTACACCTATGGCTCTTGTTTATACCATAGTATGACAATGATTTGCTAGTTGTGTACCTTCTTCTAAGGGGAATTCAGGAGTTTTAAAACCAGGTTTATGCCATGTGCAAACCCTGGAGGAAACTGTATTTAAGTTTCTCACCTCCTGCAGTAGCTGGAGAGTAAATGTTATAAAAAATACCTTTGACAGGACATTGTAAAAGGTTTAAAAGACTTTCAGAAAGATGTTACTTCATATTTGTTGATGTTTACTTACCAAACAGTGTCATTGTCATCCTGGGCTTGTTTTTCTGAATGAAATCTACAGAATTAGTCTGGAAGTGTTTTCAAAATTGGGAAAATATGATGACTGTGTTGTGATTTCAGCAATACGAGCATATTATTTTCTGTATTAATGTTGTTTTGAAGCAATTTTATCCACTGAACAAATAAGGTTTGAGGTTGTTTGGTTCATTTGGAAGAAACACTTATTTTGTTAATGATTTCTTATGTAATTTGCATGATGGTGTCATTTAAAAGAAGACAGCAACGCATTTTTGAGTTGTAATTCAGTTCCACACAAGCATCACTCTCAGATGCTGTATAAAGACTGTAGATAATAGTTTATTTTTTGTGTTGCACTCTGGAGACTGATCATTAAGTCTCACAGTAAAAGAGTAAAAAATAAATGAAAAATAAATAAATACACTGGTTTGCTCGGAAAAATGTAATTTGTTTCAATTAGAGAGAGAGATTTTTTTTATGTTGTCCAATAATATCAGACTGTACTGAGGGCAACAATTTTAACTATGTTTCATAAAGAGAGAGTATAAACTACCTGTTGCATGTATTATAAAGCAGAGGAGTATGGTGTAAGCACATGATAAGGCTAGCAGCCTGACTCAATAACCATTTTAAACATTTTAAGAGCCAATTAAATGTCACAAGTGACATTTCAGGCTGCTGAAATGGCACTCTAGAGATAATGTCTGCCGTGGTAAAATGTAGAATACAATCACCAAAATGCATTTTGTGAGTCATAATTTTAATAAATATTTGAAGAAATTTGCGAGCCAATTACGGTGTCTTTTTTAATATTTCTTACAAGATAGAATAATTAGTTAAGGATGGTTGTTATGGGGACACAGACAGACGTTTTAGTCTAAAACACATTTACCGGGCTCATGTCAGAACAACAAAACGTGTCAAGTTAAAACCTGCCTGATGAGGATCGATACAATCCCGTCTTCTGTGAGATACAACACATACAGTAATTGCTGCCTGGGTTAAATGTTTGTCCACACAGAGAGTGAACGCATCCACCAGAATTTACTGTTAATATTTTTTGCTGAAGCCTGAGACAGGATTTGAATTCTGGTCTTCAAGTCAAATGTTTTGTGCACCCACGCAACCATCCGCCAAGAACCTCTTTAGTCTTATACTTCCTGATGTGAAACTAAATGTTGCTAATGAACAAACTCTGAGCAGCAATCCATTTACTCCAAATCATATTAGCAAGTGCAAATTAAGAGTCATATGAATGTCACATCCCCCCATAAATTACACCAACGTCAGTGAATTTTTGTAAATGTCCAGAAGCCAACAGTGTTAGTGGACACTAACAAGCTCTGGGAACGAACACTATAAAGCATCTCACAAGCGTTATTGTGGTTTCAGCAGGAGGGATTGGTGGCACAGTGACTTCAGTGGTTGTGTTTTAATTCTAAAATGTTTTGGGTTTGAAAATATGGGATTATAAGTGATATATGATATAGTCAATAAAATCAATCAAATTAAACTCCTAAACTGGTTGGGAAATGGGGATTTACCCCTGTGTGAAAGTTTTGCTTCTTAAGGTCATTTTAATGTTAAAGAAATAGACCTTTTTCACAGCAG